GCTGCTATTCCCATCCCTTTTTGCTGTTCCTGTAAGAACAAGCCTCTGGGGCAGGGGTCATAAATTGCTCCTTGATTCTTTAGGAGTAGGGTGCTCCCATCTGTGATACCTGAGGTGGCTGTAATCAAATGTGGTTACTCCCATGCCCTTGAACATGGAAAAAGCTGTTTGAGAAAGAGGAGCTAGAGGGGGTGTGTGGAAATCTGTATGGGTATTTATAGCTTCTTGCAGAGCCAGAGAGATGCTTGAATGTATCCAAGGCCTCCAGCACCCACTGAGGTGGCTGAAGGAAGAGACCCATTTTGTAAAGGCAGCTCACACGGTGTCAATATTGGAGGATGGAAAACACTCACATGGGGAAGTGGAACCAAACTTCTTGTTGTGCCAGGTGAGCTGTCTCCTCCCTGTGTTCGGATGGACTCAACAGAGACAATCCAGTGCTCTAGCTTCACAACTAACAGTGCAGTGGCTTTGTGGAGCTATTTGGAATGGATTTAGTATTCCCCCCAAAGAAGTGCATGAGGAAAGGCTCCATCCCAGGGAAAGGAAGCAAGTGAAAACTTGTGAAAAGAAATTAAATTCTTTCCTCCTTTAGCAGCTGTAACTATATACTCACATCTAAGAGCCTTTCTCAAGCGTTTGAATAAGTGGGAAGCACTGCCACCCCTGTGCTCCTAGCTTAGGCATAGCTGGGCAAACGCTTAGGAAGATGTGCTGCTTCTAAAAGTGGCTTGCGGGGTTTTTGCTATGGGAGGAAATGCTGTGTGACTATGATAACAGCTACAGTAAGCTGACTTTTGGCTCAGGGACCAGGCTGACCGTCCATCCCAGTGAGTGTGCATCTTTCCTGTGTTTCCTTTGTCCATAGTCCTTGGCTGTTCACTGTAGTGTCCTCTTAAATAATACTTACTCTCTCTGGGTCACGTTATAGGTGGGAAGGAGAACATGGGCAGTGTTTAATTTAATGCAGAGAATTAATCAGGGGAATCTCAGAGATACTGGACATGCACAAAAATTCCCACTTGGATGCACAACTTGAAATGTATTTTCAGGAACAGATTTCCCCGTGCTCTGTGTAGCAGCAGTGCTGGGCTGCATGGTCCCCCTGATACTGGACAAGCATTCTCATGGGAGGGAGGTGTCACTGATAGGCCTTAAAAATAAGAAAAGGCAAAGGGAAACCCTGCACTGAAAAGTCAAAGTGAGCTGGGAATAGTTTTCCCTTTGTCTGGGTAATGACACTGTACTCGAGCTTATTGCGTCAGGGAGCCTTGCTGTGGTGTGAATGCAGGTTCTTTCTGTTTGAGGTCATGTGCCAGGGTGATGCAGACATTTTTGTAATGAAATGTGTCAGAGTGTGAATAGTGCATACCAAGTCACTTTTGGAAAGGGAACGGAGCTTTTGGTGGTACCAGGTAAGCAGCAACTTGTCCTGGAAACTGCAATTGCTGAATTTTCATCTTGCTTTTAGTGGTTGTGTGGAGACCAATCTTGGAAAGGAATTGTGCAGTTCTCCAGGTGTCCCTTGGACTTGCTTTTCCTGCATCTCCCTTTGCCTTGTGTTCCTGTGCTGTTTGTTATGGTGGCAAAGATTCTTTAGAAGCCTGTTCCCACTTCCCTCTTCCCCCTGGGTACAGATGGATGTGTGTGTTATTGAGAACTGATACCCGAGACAAGTATAGAGGCAGGTCCCATCCATACTAAAGTTGTTCCAGCTCTCCTGCTCTCCAGTGTTGCTGTATCCCTGCAGGGTTCGTGTTGCGGTGGAAAGCAGATTATGAGCAATGGTGCTTACCAGAAAGGCAGCTTTGGGAGTGGGACAGAGCTCTTTGTGATGCCCAGAAAGTGCTTGCTGACCAAGCCAAGACTGCCTGATGCTTTTCAGGCTCTGTGAGCTCTAGAGAACATGCAGCAGCAGACCAGTTTTTGTTCAACTTGGGGTAGATTTCCTCTCTAACAATAATCCAGGGGAAAAGCTGAAGGAACTGTGGGGACAGTGGAAGGAGGTTGAGGAGAGCCCCTTAGTTCTGTCCCCAGCCTTGGCCCCATCCCACATGGGCATTCTGACAACCTCTGCTCCTGCCCTGGGATCCTTCGGCCCCTTGTCACCCTTCTGCTGCCTCTCCTACAAGGCCTGGCTGGGCAGAGCCCTGGGGACAGATGCTGCTCCTTCACGTGGCTTGCTGGGCTTTTTGTTATGGAAGGAAATGCTGTGTGATTATGGCAGCAGCTGACGTTTGGCTCAGGGACCAGACTGTCTGTCCAACCCAGTAAGTGTGCACATTTTTTGTGCCTTTTGTCAAAAGCCCTTTATGGTGCCTTGTAGATACACTTGTTCTATCGAGGTCAGATTATCTAGGGAAGGAGAACATAGGTGCTATTTCAAGGCAGACAATGAAGAGGAGTCTCTCAGATGGTGTACTTTCATGGAATCCCCACTCATGTAACTCAAGGCAGAAACAGCAGTCCTCCAGAATGGAATTTGTAAGCACAGGTTTAACAGTGCTCTTGATCCAGGAGTCAGATTAAGGAGGGAGCCCCAGATTGAAGATGGAGCTGACCCTAGGCTGGGATTGTGTTGCTATTACCATTCCTTTTTGCCATTCCTGTAAGAACAGGCCTCTGGGGCAGGGATTGTAAAGCATTCCCTGATTCTTAAGGAGTAGAGTATTCCCATCTCTGACATCTGAGGTGGCTGCAATCAAATCTGATTACTCCTATGCCTTTGAGTATGGAAAAATCTAATTGAGAAAGAGGGGCTAGAGGGGGTGTGTGGAAATCTGTATGGGTATTTATAGCTTCTTGCAGAGCCAGATAGATGCTTGGATGTATCCAAGGCCTCCAGAACCCACTGTGGTGGCTGAAGGAAGAGACCCATTTTGTAAAGACAGCTCACACGGTGTTAGTGCTGGTGAATGGGGAAAACTCACCTGGGGAAGTGGAACCAAACTTTTTGTTACCCCAGGTGAGCTGTCTCCTCTCTGTGTTCAGAGGGACTCAACACTGTGCTCTAGCTTCAAAAATAAGAGTGTAATGGCTTTGTGGAGCAATTTGGGATGGTAGTATTCCCTTCAAAGGAAATGATTGGCTGCCTATCTAAACACTGTGCATGAGGAAATGCTCCATCCCAGGGAAAGGAAACAAGTTAAAATGTGTGTAAAGAAATTAAATTCTTTCCTCCTTTGAAAACTGTGACTGTATACTCACATCCAAGAGCCTTTCCCAAGAATCTGAGTGAGTGGGAAGCGCTGCCCCCCTTCCTGCTGTTCCTCCTAGCCTAGGCAGAGCTGGGCAAAGGCTTAGGGAGATGTGCTGTTTCTAAAAGAGGCTTGCAAGGTTTTTGTTATGGAAGGAAATGCTGTGTGATTATGTTGGCACCTACAGCCAGCTGACGTTTGGCTCAGGGACCAGACTGTCTGTCCAACCCAGTAAGTGTGCACATTTTCTGTGTGTCTTTTGCCAAAAGCCCCTTATGGTGCCTTGCAGATACACTTGTTATGTGGAGGTCAGCTTTCTTAGGGAAGGAGAACATAGGTGCTATTTCAAGGCAGACAATGAAGAGGAGTCTCTCAGATGGTGCATTCATGAAATCCTCACTCATGTAACTCAAGGCAGAAACAGCAGTCCTCCAAAATGGAATTTGTAAGCACAGGTTTAACAGTGCTCTTGATCCAAGAGTCAGGTTAATGAGGGAGTCCCAATTGAAGATGGAGCTGACCATAGACTGGGACTTTGTTGTTATTCCCATCCCTTTTTGCCATTCCTGTAAGAACAAGCCTCTGGGGCAGGGGTCATAAAGCATTCCCTACTTCTTAAGGAGCAGGGTGTTCCTATCTCTGACACCTGAGGTGGCTGTAATCAAATGTGGTTACTCCTATGCCTTTGAGTATGGAAAAAGCTAATTGAGAAAGAGGGGCTAGAGGATCTGTGGAAATCTGTATGGGCATTTATAGCTTCTTGCAGAGTCAGATAGATGCTTGGATGTATCCAAGGCCTCCAGCACCCACTGAGGTGGCTGAAGGAAGAGACCCATTTTGTAAAGGCAGCTCACACGGTGTTAGTACTGGAGGATGGAAAACACTCACATGGGGAAGTGGAACCAAGCTTCTTGTTGTGCCAGGTGAGCTGTCTCCTCCCTGTGTTCAGATGGAATCAACAGAGACAATCCTGTGCTCCAGCTTCACAAATAACAGTGTAGTGGCTTTGTGGAGCAGTTTGGGATGGATTTAGTGTTCCCTTCAAAGAAGTGGTTGAATTCCTATCTAACCAATGTGCACCAGGAAAGGCTCCATCCCAGGGAAAGGAAGCAAGTGAAAACTTGTGAAAAGAAATTAAATTCTTTCTTCCTTTGGAAGATGTGACTATATACTCACATCTAAGAGCCTTTCCCAAGCATTGGAATGATTGGGAAGCACTGCCACCCCTGTGCTCCTAGCCTAGGCATAGCTGGGCAAAGGCTTGCAGAGATGTGCTGCTTCTAAATGTGGCTTGCGGGGTTTTTGCTGTGGAAGGAAATGCTGTGTGATTATGATAGCGGCTCCAGGCTTCTGACTTTTGGCTCAGGGACCAGGCTGACCGTCCTACCCAGTGAGTGTGCATCTTTCCTGTGTTTCCTTTGTCCATAGTCGAGTGTTCACTGTAGTGCCCTCTTAGACATACTTACTCTACCTGAGTCATGTTATAGGTGGGAAAGAGAACTTGGGCTGTGTTTCATTTAATGCAGAGAATGTAATCAGGGGAGTTTCAGAGATACTGGACATGCACAAAAATTCCCACTTGGATGCGCAACTTGAAATGTTTTTTCAGGGACAGATTTCCCCATGTTCTGTGTAGCAGCAGTGCTGGGCTGTATGGTCCCCCTGATACTGGACCAGCATTCTCATGGGATGGAGGTGTCACTGATAGCCTTAAAATAGGAAAAGACAAAGGGAGATCTTGCACTGAAAAGTCAAGAGTGAGCTGGGAATAGTTTTCCCTTTGCCCAGGAAATGACACTGGACTCAAGCTTATTGTGTTAAGGGTTGTGGTAGCAATGGTGCTTACCACAAAGGCACCTTTGGGAGTGGGACAGAGCTCTTTGTGATGCCCAGAAGGTGCTTGCCGAGCAAGCCAAGACTGCCTGATGCTTTTCAGGCTTGGTGAGCTCTAGAGAACATGCAGCAGCAGACCAGTTTTTGTTCAACTTGGGGTAGATTTCCCTCTCTAGCAATAATCCAGGGGAAAAGCTGAAGGAACTGTGGGGACAGTGGAAGGAGGTTGAGGAGAGCCCCTTAGTTCTGTCCCCAGCCTTGGCCTCATCCCACATGGGCATTCTGGCAACCTCTGCTGCTGCCCTGGGATCCTTCGGCCCCTTGTCACCCTTCTGCTGCCTCTCCTACAAGGCCTGGCTGGGCAGAGCCCTGGGGACAGATGCTGCTCCTTCAAGTGGCTTGCTGGGCTTTTTGTTATGGAAGGAAATGCTGTGTGATTACGGCAGCAGCGTCAACCAGCTGACGTTTGGCTCAGGGACCAGACTGTCTGTCCAACCCAGTAAGTGTGCAGCTATTCTGTGTATCTTTTGTCAAAAGCCCCTTATGGTGCCTTGCAGATATACTTGTTCTGTGGAGGTCACCTTTCCTAGGGAAGGAGAACATAGGTGCTATTTCAAGGCAGACAATGAAGAGGAGTCTCTCAGATGGTGCATTCATGAAATCCTCACTCATGTAACTCAAGGCAGAAACAGCAGTCCTCCAAAATGGAATTTGTAAGCACAGGTTTAACAGTGCTCTTGATCCAAGAGTCAGATTAAGGAGGGAGCCCCAGATTGAAGATGGAGCTGACCCTAGGCTGGGATTGTGTTGCTATTCCCACCCCTTTTTGCCATTCCTGTAAGAACAAGCCTCTGGGGCAGGGATTGTAAAGCATTCCCTGATTCTTAAGGAGTAGAGTATTCCTATCTCTGACACCTGAGGTGGCTGTAATCAAATGTGGTTACTCCTATGCCTTTGAGTATGGAAAAATCTAATTGAGAAAGAGAGGCTAGAGGGGGTGTGTGGAAATCTGTATGGGTATTTATAGCTTCTTGCAGAGCCAGAGAGATTCTTTAATGTATCCGAGGCCTCCAGCACCCACTGAGGTGGCTGAAGGAAGAGACCCATTTTGTAAAGGCAGCTCACACGGTGTTAGTACTGGAGGATGGAATACACTCACATGGGGAAGTGGAACCAAGCTTCTTGTTGTGCCAGGTGAGCTGTCTCCTCTCTGTGCTTGGATGGACTCAACAGAGACAATCCAGTGCTCTAGCTTCACAACTTACAGTGTAGTGGCTTTGTGGAGCAGTTTGGGATGGATTTAGTATCCCCTTCAAAGAAGTGGTAGACTTCCTATCTAACCACTGTGCATGAGGAAAGGCTCCAACCTGGGGAAAGGAAGCAAGTGAAAACTTGTGAAAATAAATTAAATCCTTTTCTCCTTTGAAAACTGTGACTATATCCTCACATCCAAGAGCCTTTCCCAAGAATCTGAAGCAGTGGGAAGCACTGCCACCCTTCTGCTGCCACTCTGCCTATGCATGGCTCGGCATAGGCTCAGGGAGATGTGCTGCTTCTCAAGTGGCTTGAGAGGCTTTTTGTTATGGAAGGAAATGCTGTGTGATTACGGGTACACCTACAAGCTGACTTTTGGCTCAGGGACCAGACTGACTATCCAACCCTGTGAGTGTGCATCTTTCCTGTGTTTCCTTTGTCCATAGTCCTTGAGTGTTCACCGTAGTGCCCTCTCAGACATACTTACTCTGTCTGGGTCACATTACAGGTGGGAAGGAGAACATGTGCAGTGTTTCATTTAATGCAGAGAATGTAATCAGGGGACTCTCAGAGATACTGGACATGTACAAAAACTCCCACTTGGATGTGCAACTTGAAACGCAGTTTCGGGAATGGATTTCCCCATGTTCTGTGTAGCAGTACTTTCGGGCTGCATGGTCCCCCTGATACTGGACAAGCATTCTCATGAGAGGGATGTGTCATTGAGAAGCCTTAAAAATAAGAAAAGGCAAAGGGAAACCCTGTACTGAAAAAGAAAAAGGCTTTGGGTCAAGGGATCATAAAGCCTTCCCTGGTTCTTAAGGAGTGGGGTCTTTCCATCTCTGACACCTGAGGTGACTGTAATCAAATCTGATTGCTCCCATGCCTTTGAATATGGAAAAAGCGGTTTGAGAAAGAGGGGCTAGAGGAGGTTTGTGGAAATCTGTATGGGTATTTATAGCTTCTTGCAGAGCCAGAGAGATGCTTGAATGTATCCAAGGCCTCCAGCACCCACTGAGGTGGCTGGAGGAAGAGACCCATTTTGTAAAGACAGCTCACACGGTGTCAATAATGGAGGATGGAAAACACTCACATGGGGAAGTGGAACCAAACTTCTTGTTGTGCCGGGTGAGTTGTCTCCTCTCTGTGTTCGGATGGACTCAACAGAGACAATTCTGTGCTCCAGCTTCACAAATAACAGCGTAGTGGCTTCGTGGAGCTATTTGGGATGGTTTTAGTACTCCTTTTAAAGAAGTGGTAGACTTGCTCTCTAATCAGTGTGGACCAGGAAAGGCTCCATCCTGGGGAAAGTAAGTAAGTGAAAACTTGGGTGAACAAGTAAGTGAAATAGAAGAAGAGAGATGGAAAGAAACTGTAATAGCTTTTAATAAGTGGTACTGGTTTGGATTTGTCAAGGATGGAGGTTGAAAGAGAATTGCCTTGTGTCTCTTCCTTGGGGCATGGAATGCCACATTTAATGAGTCTGTAGTGTGGGGAGGAAGAAAAATAAGCCATGGCGATGGAAGGAAGATGTAATGCATTAGCAGTATGTTCATGCAAAATGGTGGGATTCCCTTGAGGAATGTTACTCAGGCAGACTGGGGTGGATAGAAGTGTTATGCAGGTTTTTGCTATGGCAAACAACACTGTGTCTGTGAATAGCTACCAACTTACCTTTGGACATGGGACCAGGCTCGTGGTGATACCAAGTAAGATTGCTGAGATTTGGGACACTGAGTTATTGAGGGGGAAACTTCAATCCCCCCAAACCCAAGGTGAATGTTTGCTGGGAGAGCAGCGAGCTGCAGTTCAGAAGCTGTTCCCAAAACGTAGCACCGGCAATCTCTTGGTTGCTGCAGTGTCTGCTGGATACTGCAGAGCCGCAGAGATGCTCTGCAGAGCAATGAATGGAGTTCCACAAACTGTGGAGCTTTCCTGGGAGACAAGATGTAAAACTGACAACTTGTGTTGGTGCAACACACCGTGCCACTCTTCCAGGTGTGTGAACTTCGAAGGGAAGAAATAAACTACGGAGTTTTCTGTGAGTGTATCTCAAACCTGAGTGTACCCCACTCATAGTTAGGCATTTACATAACTTGAGAAGTTCACATACCTGGAGAAATCAGAAGGTTAGTTCCTACTCTTAACAGGAGTTTATGAAACTAGTGGAAGGAAACCCATGACATAGAGCTTGCTTAGACAATGTCGCATGCACGAAGCTACTCATAGTGGCACAGTACCTCTAACCATGCAGGGCCCATAGAAGACCTCTGGCAGACCTTTTGGAACTTCCACTGGGAGCCATCACTAAAGTGCTCATTAAGTCATTGGTGTTGCACCTCTGGGGTCAAGATTAGCCTGTAGGAGTGTGTGAGGAGGTATATTTCCTCTGAGTTGGGCAGCAGCTTCAGGTTAACTCTAGCTGTGGAATTTCATGTCTCAGGCTGAAGAGGATCTAAGAACTCTGTCACACCAGTTCCAGTCTGACCAGAGATACAGAAAGTTCCCTTTGGAGGGAATGGAGAGTGATGTAAACTGCATAATACAAGCTGTGTGCTAAAGCAGTTTGGGATTTCTATTGCAGCTTGTTTGGAAAAAAGGCATAGGTCTCAGTCTGATGTTGGAACAGTCTTCTACTCCTTTCTCCCTGAAATCAGACTCCAGAATGTGCTTTCTCTGTAGAGCGGGCAGGAATAGCATTCTAAGAGCTCTTCCATCTGGAAGATATCCTTCAGTAAAGATGAAATTAGTCTTGGTGGACAGCTCAGAGTATCATGATTTACTTCTCAGTCTTTCCTACAAGAAGAGGTCACAAATAGCAATGCAGCACCTCCAACGCATCCGCCAACTCATTCAGATGGAATAACAGGAAGCACAGGTCACAGCGCTGTGGTTATCATAGATGATATTTACCAAGACTATCTGAAAACTTTCGTAAGGTGCAAACATGCAAAGGACCTTATCAGAAAAAAGACTCTAGTACCAGAACAACGGCAGCAGCCACTCTAAGAATAAGAAATGAGTACTTTGCAAAATAGGTGCTGCTGAAGCTGCCTGCAAAAGCGTTGCACAGATTGAAAGGGAGAAAACCACAGTAATTTGGAAAGAGGTGGATATGTAGCTCTTTAGAAAGCATGATACTCATTATGAGAGAGAAGCAGAACAGCTCCATCAATTCCTCCTTATTTCTTTCATATATATGTACTCCTTGACAATGATGTACCCTGGGTCATCTGTATTTTATACAGGGATCTACCATAAAGCTTTCTATCTGCTCATGTCTTCCTTTCCCTAACAAACATCACTGAAATCTATTTCTAAACCAATAACTGTGAGGATGGGAGTTGGGAATGGTGTTGAAGGAGTCAGAATATACGTTACCCTGTGTTCTGCACAGGTGGGAAAGGAAGCCTCATTAACTTCCTCAAAGCCAGGGTAAAGCTTGGATAGATAAACAGCAGTTCGGTAGAAGGGCCAGAGAAGGGATACTTAGGCTTTGTGGATTAGGCTTTTTTTCTGACATCATGCTAATAAAGAAGCAGGCTATTTCTTTAAGGTGCTGACAACTGATGAAAAGCATTTATCTCAGTGACAGGATAGGGGCTACACTTGCATAAGGGTTTGAGACAGTTTCTAAAAGCCAAGATTGAATTCAAATTTCTCCCATGGGAATAAATTGAAACGTCCTCATGTGGGAGCTACGTACTCTTTAGTATTTCTACAGTATTTAGCAGTGTGGTGTGTGAACAGGCACAAAGCAAATACTAATCTAAACTCTCAGCCTTACAAGATAAGTTAGTTCATAAATGTGAACTGAAACTCCCATTCAAACCTGTGACTGTGAAGTCCAATGGAAAATGCAGCCAGAGGTCAGCTGAGAGCCCCAAACCTGCATCTTTGCTACAGTAAGTCTTCAATGATATTTCATCTGTTCATCATTAGAGTAATGCAATGCCCATCACATTTTACTATTACTCATGAGCAAAGATTTAGGAAAGCACCTTCTCAAAGAATCAGACTTCAAGAGCTGGACAAGATGAAATGTATGCTGAGGGTACAAGTTTACAAAACTAAATGTGCCAAAGAGAGTTTAAACACAGGTCATGTTTTGATATGTGTGGAAAATCCTAGTCTAACTGACTTGCTAGCAGAATTTGAAGCACGAAAACAGAAATAAAAACCCGGATGTCTTAGTCTTCTATCTGCAGCCTTCAGATCCCCACACCCCTCTTCTGCAAGGGAAAATGTAGTAAAAAATCTTGTCCTGCACTATCAGGTGGAGGAACATGATGAAACATTCATTGGTTTCATCTTTCTTTCCCTAAAAGCATCAGGAACTATGACTGTGTATTCTCATCTAATGTCTCTTCTTCTTTTTCAGATGTTACTCCATCTCCTTCAGTCTACAGGCTGGTCTCTAAAGATGACGAGAATGTGGAAATGTGCCTTATCACAGATCATTCCCCTGAAAAGCTTACTCTTAACAGGGCTGATAAGGTGACAAATACTGTTGTGGAGGTGACAACACCTGAGAACAAACAGGAAGCCAGCTACCTGTCAACCTACTGGGGCAAGAAAGATGAAATGCTGTGTGGTGCAAATCATGAGGGATTTGGAGCACTGGAAGGGGAAGATCCTGAAAGCGGTAATGGCATTGTTGCATGTCTGTACAGGGTTAGCGGTACTCTGGTCTCTGTGCTAGTAATATGATCAGACTCACATCTCCAACCCTGCAAGCAAAGCTGCATTATGCTCCCAGACTCTAGAGGAATGTTGACTTGTTGCCTCTGTTCCCCCTTGCTGGAAACAAGATTAAGGGCTGGTAGACTGGTACCGTCACAGCAAAGAGATATTAAAATCACACTGTGGAGCATATGAAGCTTGAAATTCCTCTGTCTAATGGAACACTAAAGTCTAATTGGATCATGTTTTATGCTTGCCCTGAAACCAGCAGAAATAAGTGTTTCTGGGAGGGTTTACTAGCCAGAAACTCTAATCCAGCCAGTACAGATTTCTCTTTATGAACTTCCAAGGAAGTACATTTCTGTTATTAATTACATTTATTGTTACTTTTTGCAGGTTCCAGTGCTTTTTGTGTTACAGGAATGTCTCTACAATTCAGGACAGGTATGTACACAGCATTTGAGGAGTAAAGCTTGTCCTGATTAAAGGAAATGGCTTCCCAAGTTTTGGTTAATGTTTCCTGTTTGCAGAATCCTGCTGGAGCAAAAAGCTCAGACTGGAAATTTCTGAAAGGGCCCCAGAGGCTTTAAATGTCAAAGCTGAAAGTCATTGGGTTAATGTAGTCTTCCATGTCTGAGCTGGTAATTTGGTGTAGCATGTCCCTACATGCCCTTGCTAAGACCAGCCAAACATAGCTCCCCATCCTGTAATGACTGAAAGTACCCATATGAGTCAGCCTTACTGGATGCCTGTCTGCATTTCAGACTTCAAAAGAGTTAGTTTTATTTTGGGGTACACAAACACCTGAAATAAAAGATAAGGACGTGGTTTCTGCAGTGTGTGCTCAGAAGCAGGGTTGCACTAAAGATACAGTGCCTCTGGGAAAGAGATGCTTCAGCTCATGGCTGTGGGAGTATACTAGCCAGTGCTGGGGCCCAGGCAATTGCTGTTCCTGCTAGTTCAAAGGAGCTGACCTGCATCTGCTCTTGCCCTGTTTGCAGAATAGCTATGCTTTTGCAAACCTTGCTCAAAAGAACCCCGTTAGCCAAATGTTTCCAAAACACCACTTCAGAGAAACACCCACCAGTAAACTTGGCTGATTTGATCAGTCTTTTCACTGGGTGTTTTTCAAAGATGAGTATTTGATGACAGCTCCCTGCTTCCCCAATATAGAGCAATGTATTTGCAAATGAAAATGGCTTTGTAACTTGAGATTAATAGAAATTCCAAGTAGCCTCTGTGTTTTTTGAATCAAATTTAACTTGTTTTCCCCACGCCTATCGTAAAGAACTTTATGGAGAAGAAAGAGGGATGCCTCCAGCATCCTGGATTTATAAAACACTGTATTTAAAGCCAGCTAGATGGTCGGCAGACTTGCATATTGCATGAGTAAATGGTTATTGAATGAAAACCTGGCCCTTGAATCACCAATTGGAAGAAATTGAAGTTTCTCTGTGAGACAGTCCCACTCACTGTCTCAGGAGCTACTCTACTAGATGGCTCAGTCATACAAAGCAGAACAGTTTCATTAAGAGTGCTTGTAAGTCTTTCTGGAAGCGAGGATGTCTCAGTGCTCTTGTGACTTTCATTCTCTGTTCCTTTTACAGATGAGAACCTGAACACAATGTCTTTATCACAGCTGTCTCTGAAAATAATTTTAATGAAAGGAATAATTTTTAATGTCCTGATGACGATACTTGTGTGGAAAAAAAAGTGAGTATGCATGGGGGGCGGATGGCAAGGCCTCTGATAGAAAACATCTGCATCAGTTCATTAGCTGTGAGTGTTCCTTCTCTCTGTAGTAAGTGTTTATGCAGTCTACGCATACACCTTTCTGTATACCAAAAGTAAAATCCCTCCACTCCTTTGGCCATATCATTGCTTTTGCCCACCCCTGAAGTCTATTTACTTTTTCTTATCCACATGCAAATTTAACTTTTTTCTTCTTTCTAGATATCCCTCCCTTCTATTTTACATCCCTCTCTTGTCTGCATTCATCCAGCCAATTCATCCCCTGACCAGTCTCCAGATGGGAATGTTTGATGCTTACTGACTTTAAGACCTTACACCTAATATACTAGCTTTGGTCCAGTGTCTCTCCTCTTTTTATTGCCCAGACACTTCAGGTCTGCAATCTTGTCACTGTATCCCAAATAATGATATAACACACCTTTATTTTGTTACAGGAATGTAAGTAACTAGATGGTGCAGTCCTGAAGTATCAAAAAAGTCTGCTGAGGAATCTTTACCAGAGCATCATCTGCAAGAGGGAACACAGGCATTCCTATTGAAAGAGATATCACTTGCTATCTGTGTATCAGCCAGCCATTATAATCTAAATTGCTTTATTTGCATTGTTCCAAAGCTTACCTAACCTAACTTACTAAACCTAAGCTTAAAATTTCCAGCATTCTGCTCCCCCAGATGCCTGATTCATTTAGCACAACAATGCCTCTTTTTTCATAAAGCACAGTTTGGCATGACTATAAATTACCAAACATCACTCTTACCTACTGGTGTTAAAATGACATCCGATTTCTGTTGTTTGGAGGTGGTGTTTGTTGAAATCTGCAAGTTAAATATTACCTGAATGTGAAGTTTTCATATTTTGGTAGCATTCAGGTATGCACCTCTTAGGGTGCACACCCAAAGACACCGTTGCAGTTGCAACAGTCTGAAAAGCAAAGGGAGAGTTACTCAGGGTCACCCAACTCACTTCATTATCACAGAACAAAACAATGGGGTTTAGTACTTTTTGGGGTCTATCTGGCCTTAACATTTTCTGAATTTAAATCAGCTGAAGATTAGGCTTTGTATTTAGTAAAAATACAAACTACTTTTGTTCTTTTTATTTAGTTCTAATAATCTTTGACATGGTCTGGTGGGAGGTGTCCCATGCCCATGGAACTAGATGATCTTGAGTTTCTTTCCAACCCAAACATTCTAGGATTCTATGATTTTATGATCTTAGATTTCCCAATTTATTTTCATAATCATTGCATAAAACCATACTGAAATATTTTCCTGCCCATGTCTGTGCTCCTTGGAAACACTGCATGCATGTAAAAATCACATGCCGCTATTGGTTGAATTGTATTGGCAATCACATTGATGTCTTTGGCATTTCTTTGGGCCTTTGGCTGCTATTAAACAGTTCTTATCAAAAATAAGAAACTTGTTTGTCTTTTGTATCTGTAGTTTGAGGCACTTGTTTCACCCTTCAAACGAGCTTTAGGAATGAGCCTGGCCTTTAGGGTGAAGGAGGGAAAGGGCATCTGACTCTTCCCTTCAGCCTGGCTTGGCCACCAGGCATTTTTTCCAGGACTGGGGGGATCCACTGCAGGGATCAACGGAGTCTCTTCCCAGAATACCAGAATATCCTTGCTGTGTCTGGGTAAGAAGAGCTTGGAGGGAGGGGAATGGTGGAAAGCAGCTCTCTTCCAAGGGTAGAGTTTGCACTATGTGAAGACAAAGGTAAAATATGGCTTGCCCACAGTAAGGGGAGTAGTCCAGGCTCTTGAAGGCAGATACCTACTGCTATGGAGAACACAGAAACCTAAAGTGCCCTACCTCTGAATGTTCCCCACTCCCAAGCATCACTGGAGAATAAGGTCCCTGCTTTGCATTAATGACACCAACTGTCCAGACTGTGTCTCCAGGCTCAGACTGCTACTGACAAGATGCATTTGGAGGGAGAAATGAGAAGGGTGCTTTGAAAGAAACACAGCCTTTCCTGCAAAGCCTGAACCTTGCTCACACCTCATACCAGTGTCCAAACTGAGTGGCAGGGAAAGCCTTGCTGGATGATGGGGGTGATTCTCCCTCCCTGGGTATTTCTCACCCTGCTGGATTCACAGCAATTGTAAGGAACTCTGATTTTGAAAAGGCTCATGCTTCAAATGCTTTTAGACAAAAGCTGTGGTGCTTCATGTGGGAGAGGGCCCTGTGTGGAAACCAGGCCAGCATTCCTGCCACAGCACAATAGTCTTCCTGGTCTCCTGCCACAGTGCTGCCACCTGACCATTTAGCAGGTCACAGGGTGACAGAGTTACTGACCTCTTCAAGCTTTCTGGGTACAGATGCTCAGGGATTCATTCTCTTGCCTCTCCCTTGAAACAACAGCCACTGATTTCTCTCCAGCTCTTTAAATGTGAGATTTTAGGCAGCTCTTGAAGCTTACATTTTGCTCATGATGAGATCTGTCATGTCACTTGATGAAGCTGCCTAAACCAGATTTGAATTACAAAGCAAGTCATTACATTTCACAGATTTCCAATGGAGTAATCGCATTCCAGAAGCCTTCAGGGAAGGAGGGTTTCCATGCTCACTACCTTTATCCACCTGAAATGTTTTGTGTTGCACTTCAAACCTGCACCTAGCTGTATGGTCAAAGAGGAAGAACAGTGTGCTGCCTCTTTTTCCATATCTTAGCCTTTTCCAGGTTAAATGACCCCAGTAATATGATTTGCCAAGTGAGAAATGGGTGTATAGATAAATGTTGTGACTGAAGTGACTCTTAGTACATGATCTGCAAAACACTGAATTTGTAGGTCTAGTTTAAATATACTTTAGAGATATTAGTGGAGATATCATCACCACTTTGCTCTTTCTTGTTTATTTCAAGAAAGCAAGCCTGCAGTGCAAAGCAAAGGCAGGAAATAACACCGTAGGGCAGGATGTGGAAGGGGTCTGATAGCCCAGGTGGGGCAGGAAGAGGCTGCACCACCAGTTCCATGATGCCACAAACAAGATCTGGGTCACCTTTTGCTGCTCTTCTACACCCAACCACATAAACCACTTCCTCTGGAAAGTGGAGCACAAAACAGGGGGTGAGGGGAGCAGGGCTGGTGTGACACGTGGCAGGGAGGAGGAGATGCGTGTGGAAAAGAACAGCAGACGTTAGACCACAAGCCAATATTGAATGAGGTTAAGGCACCCTCCCTTCCTGCCCCTTCCCCACAGCCTGCTCTTAGTTCTGGGGGGAAGTTGTTTTGGGCATGGCAGGAAAGATTGAGCTATCTATAGCATGGGCAGGGTAAACAAAGGGAAAAAATACATTATAAAGCATGGTGAGTGGCAGGGAGAGATCTTAGAACTGTGAATTTGCTGATAGGCCTCTGCACCCTGTTATACAGGCAGTGAATCTGGGCAGAAAAATCCTTTCACTTCTCACTCAAAAGAGAAGGGAGGAAGATGGGGCAGGCCAGAGTCCTCTCACATTAGCAAGGAAGGAGATACCACCATGGTCCATCTCTAGCACCCTCTCCCCAACACCAGTCCCTTAATACCTAGTTATGAGTAGATGAATTTGCACCCTTTCTAGGGTTTTGTTGGAGAAATTACCCTGACATCTGTCACCAAAGTATGGTCTGTGTAAGGAACAAAGCTTCAAGTTATCTACAGACCTGTTAAAACTTAATCACATGTGGAAGTAGCTCTAATGGGACCTGAATTCTACTGCTGAGTTCATGGCAACTAGTGGCATTGCAAGCTGGTAAATATTAGCGGGGGGAAGGAACCCTACAGAACCCCCACTTTTTCCCCTTTTCCACAGGCTCCATGTAGTGCTTAAGCAGAAGTGGCCATAGAAGTGTCCTTGTTTGGAGCAATCTCAAGCCAAACCGTGGGGAGACCGAGCCACGCAAACCACAAGGAGGCACTAGCAGCTCACAAACAGCAGTGGCAAAGGGGAAAGCCGGAGCTGCTCCGCCTCTTGTGAACACGCTGGCTCTGCTCTGCCTGGCTGAGGGCCTCTCTTACGGGAAAGAGCTCGGTGCCTCATTTACAAGATCTGCCTTGCTGTCATGTTCCCTACCTGCTCCCCGGCAGTACAAACCCAGCTTAATGCCTGGGGCTGGAGGGAGATGGTGCTATCAGAGCTGGCATGAATTCTCTTTTCCTACCAGACCCAGACAGCATCCTTTGAGACAGTAAAGACCCAGCTCCCTCATACCTCATTCTTCAGAGCCTATAATAGGCAAGAGACTTAGGAGCCCCAGGTTTCACACTTTTATAGGTTTAATGGCTGCAGCACATCTGGAAATGCTAAAAGGAAAAAGGTGGTGAAGAGAAGCCATAATCTAACACTGAAGTTAAAGCTTTCAGACCCCGTATTTTACCTCCCAAGTGCCAGCAGACAAACATTTCCTTCCACATTATGTCAACATATATTTTACCTATCCAGTGTTTCTGCTGCAGAGCACACCAGACAAGCCTGAAGCAAGGACAGAGCCTCATGCATGAAGGCAACACCAGTAAATTCTCCAACCAAAGGTGTGGAGGGGCAGGAAATAGGAAGATGAAAAGAGTGGATGACAACCGAGTTTCCATGACTTGTTTCCTGCTTCCCTCTGAAACTGGGGCACAGAAAAAAGCCTGCTGGGTAGAACAGGAGGTAAAAGGCACTGAGCTATGCCTGAGACGAAACTTGGGTGTCAGAAGAATTTCTGTATTGATCAGCAATAGGGAAAAGCCGGCAGTATCATAAAAGGTTTTTATTGACAGAAAGGATTACAGTCACTGTAACAAGGGAGCAGACCCCTCCATAGGGCAGTCTGAGGGAAAGAAATCTTGAGCCCTGTGTCTCCTTCTTCCACCAAGAAGTAGCTAAGACTCTGCTGGGGAACAGCCCTTCCCAATGCCACGTTTGACATCAGAGCTCAAGACCTGGTAAGAAAGAAAGAAATAAAGGCAATGTGAGCAAGGCTTCTGCAATGGGAAATACCCCACAGGCCCCAATGATCTTATAGCCCCTTGCAACTGTAACAACAGGGCATATCCTCCATTTTCCAGCACCCAACTCCCTGCTCTCATCTGCTGAGAAACTTCAGACTTAAGACGCCAGCCATTCCATGGCCTCCAAATAGGACAATCCTCACCCAAACAGCCCAGGACTTCCAGCATCCAAAGCCTCTCTTTCAAAGAACAGAGTATTTATCACATAAGAGGAAACATGAGCAAGTCTGTGTAATACTCCTACTTAAGCTGCTTTTTAAATGATAAAAGCCAAAGAAGAAACTACATGCATGAAATCAGAAAGCCATAAATCCTAACCCAAAAGCTTTACTGTACTTGGCCAAGACAAAGCTGTGAGCTAGATTCACTATCTTTCTCGTTCTCTCCCAGGTACAGAAGTACTGCAGTCCTGTGACCTGGGGTTCCCCCTTTTGTGACCACATGGATCCGTACCTTAGAGTCTCTTCTAGAGCTCAGCCAACAAAATTGATGACGACGAGATGGAGGATGGTGTTGGCAAAGAGGAAATCAGCAAACGCCCGCTCTGGTGAAATGCCTTGGAACTCGCCTTTGTTCTGGGGGTTGATCTGGATCCGGAGGCAGACTGTATGGTAGAGAACGGATAAGAGATTAGTGACCAGAAAAAGCAGCACAGTTGTCTTGGGGCAGCCCACCCCAGTCTGGGACGCCTTTCCAGGTGGCTACCACAAGAAAAGGTAATTCCATCTTTACTGTAAGATGAACGGGACACTGGCAAGGGATTTGTGCAGGGCTTTTATACAATCAACTGCCATAGCACTACACCATCGGGGGGGGGGGGCAAGCGAATCCGAAGAATGGGCTTAGATGGGATTAGTGTAAACACAGCGATATCTCTAGATCCTCCACTGGGTGTGTTGGGGAGGGCTGCACAGGAGCAAGGTGGTTTTGGGGAGTACTATGAGTGAGCAACACCCTGAAAAAGTCATTGCTAGAGCTGGAGTGAAACTACATGGGCACTACTAAACATAAAGTAGTAATAAGGAGGGCTCCTTGACTGCCAGGGAGGACACCCTGGGAGTGACATATGGGCAGGAACCAGGGGGCTTCTGGCAGCAGAACAACGGGGGCGGGAGGGGCGTTGGAGGCTGTTATGGGACCTCCCCGGCTGCCGGGTTGAGGGAATCCTACGTTTCCTACAAGGCAAACGGGCATTTCCAAGCAGCGCTCTGAGGGGCCGGGGGCCTCCGGCTGGGGGTGCCGGAGTCGCTGGGGGAGGCTCAGGCTTTGTGTGGAGGGGGTCCCAGAGAACACCGCGCGGGGCCACGGCGGGCACTCACCACCGAGGATGAAGCTGCCGACGGCGGAGATGAAGCCGCTGAGGAAGGAGTTGAAGGGGAAGGTGCCGACGCCGAGGCAGTAGCCGAACTGCAGCGCGCCGGTGAGCAGCACGTACAGGAGGTAGGCGTCCAGCACCTTGAGGCGGCTCGGCGTGCCGCTGCCGTACTCCGCCAGGAAACGCCGCACCACCGAACCCACCGAGCCCGCGCCCGCCGCACCGGAGGCCGCCGCACCCGACATGGTCCCGCCGGCCCGGCTGAGCTGGGCGGAAGCGGCTGCGCGCAGTGCTTCCGGGGCGCGGCGGGACGGCGCAGGCGCAAGCCCAGCGCGCAGCCGTGTCAGAGGGTGCTGTGCTGGCGCTTGCCCGTTAAGGGGCGGAGCTGGGAGGCGCTGCCGGCGCGGTGCGCATGTGCGGGAGGCGTGGCGCGGCAAGGGATGGGGATGGGGATGGGGATGATGGGGATGGGGATGGGGATGATGGGGATGGGGATGGGGATGGGGATGGGGATGGGAATGGGAGGGCGGGCGGTACGGAGCGGGTCCTGTGCGGCCATGGGCGTGAGTTAAACCTCAGTCAGTGATCTGATGGGCAGAGAGCTGCTGCTGCGGCTGCCAGCAAGGTCAAGCTGAAATAAGTTCAAGCTAAAAGTAGCCTAGGAAAAGCCTGGCAAGTCCTTAACTCTTGCTTGGCTTGATACCGGGACATAAAGGGTTAACATTGTGCCTGCTTGCTTAAGCACTGTCTGTGCTTGGTGAAGCAGAACCGTAGGAGTCAAAAGTTGCTAGAACGGTGAAGCAGAATTGCAGGAGTTACAGCTGCTAGGCAGAATTGTAGTAGATAAGATTCATAGCTTAATATTTAAGACATTCTTGTTTAAATAGTATCTCTAGAAAGAAAAGGCACAAAAGATAGCCAGAGTAACAAAATTTGCAAACTTGACAAGTTTCTGCTTTAAGATACATAAAACTCTCTTGTACCAAACCTGAGGTTTGGGTAGGAGCCAAAACCCTATTGAGTCTGCGTGAAAGCAAGAGGTTACTTGCAGTGATGAAGAGGAGCTACAGGCCTTCATCCTCATGGCCCCCTAATTACCACCACCAGGAGGCACTGCACAGATGCATCAGTGGGACAAATGCCAGAAAACTAATTATAATCCTAGACGGGAATAGGTTTTGCATATGTATTAGGTGTGAAGCAATCTCTTGTTTAGGTAATCATTATATGTAATATAAATGATGTGGCAAAGGAAAGGCGCGCATGCTTTTGGAGGAGCAATTTCCATGTGCCTCAGTGCTGAATAAAGCATCCCTACTTTACAACTCTAATGAGTTGTGGAGTCTATCCATGTATCAGGCTAACCCAGAGCGGGGTTATGCTTGTCCAAGAGCAGTGGCAGAGCTTTGCTTAGTGTGTTACAATATACAGCTCTCTAGGAAGGGACTCCTTTCGTGCCTGTCCTGCTGACTCAATGGCCCCTGGAAGGAAGCATCATAGGCCCAAGTACTGGGCAGCCATTAACCTAATGGTTTTGATCTCACAGAGCAGAGAAGGAGGGGTTCAATGTCTAATGTAAGGGAGGATGGGGTCTGAGTTTCCACATTTAGGCCTGAATGTGTTTGGCTCCAGAGATGACCCAGTGTGTTGAGGATGGAGCCTGGCTTGTGGTTCATGAATGTGTCAGCAGTGGGTGTGATACACGGATAGACTCCACAACTCGTTAAAGTTGTAAAGTAGGTATGCTTTTATTCAGCACTGAGACGCATGGGGGATAGTTCCTCGAAAGGCATGCGTGCCTCAGTGTTGTTTCCCTCTACATTTATTCTCTAAAGTTATGCATGCTCATAAGCTTGCACAATACGCCTATACATATTCATGTCTTATCCCTGCTTCGTGTTATAATGAGCTAGAAGGTCCTTTGTGCCTGCGCAGTGCCCCTCTGGTCGTGGGCAGGAATCTCAAGATGAAGTAAATGAGTCTTCCTCTTGTGAGTAGGGGTCTTCAAGATGAAATAAATGAGTCTTCCTCGAGCCTGAACTTTTCACCTCTAGCCATCATGCATGCTCTTTAGGAGTCTAGTCAAAGTCCAAATCACAAAGCTGGTCTTCACTGGATCTAAGTAACTGTGCCTCCCCCTTATCAGTCTGTTTCTTATCAGTCTGTTTCTTATCAGTCTGTTTCTCCCCCTTATCAATAGCCTATTGTCCTGGTACTGCATGGCAAGCTGGGCAGGTATTTGCAAACAACACTTTCTGTTAAACAGGCAAAATTCCTTTATCCCCTCTTGCACAACCCCCTTGTACGACCCCCTTGTACAACCCCCTTGTACATTGGTCAACTCTCTGCATCAGGTGTTGCAGTCACAGTGTCTTCACTGATCGTTACGACTGAGCAGGACCTGTGTATCTCCAGGTTTGGAGAGGTGGGTTCATGGTGTTTCCATTCCACATGCCACGTATTTGGACTGCTGACTGAAAGGACCACCTTCCTGATAGCTGGGGATTGCTCTTTGGCCTCTGTAGGGGAAGTTTGATACAGGATGAATCTCTGGATTGCTGTGCTGCCTGTAAGCAAAGTCTATGAGTTTCTGCTCTGATGAGCCCTGATGGGAAAACATCGTCCAGAGACGTTTCTGGTCTTCCATCTCACGCTGGGCTCTATTAAAACTCCAAGTAACTTTGCTTTCTGTTTCTCTCTGTGTTTCTTGAAGGCACCTTGCCAGGTTTTGCTGTAGCTACAAACAACAGGGAGGTAGCACCACATTGCTCAAGGGGCTCATTAAACTGCTGACAGCCATAATGAGTTCTGCATTCTGCCACTCCCTGTAGAGTTTTAAGCATTGTGTAGCCAATTAGGGAGCTCTCAGGTGTGTTTCAGTCAATATAAACAGCATTGTTGTTGGTTGTCATTCATCTTAATGATGCCTGACCAGAAGAATGAAAATGAAGACATTTTGAAAGGCAATGACTCTGGCTTATATCCTGGTGGGGATCAGACAGAGGTAGAAGTGTCTTTGTGGTCAAGCAACGAGTGGCCAGAGTCCCAAGTTTGATTCATGTGCTGGCAATAAGTGTTCTTATTCTAGCCTGTTCTGTCATCACTGCCACCCACAGCAGTGTCAAAGGCTTTATGTGCAAAGCTTTTGCCTTCTCTAGTTCGCACTGTCTTTACCTGTTGTACTCACTGTGCACAGAAACAGGAGGCCTAGTGATCACCATTGGAGAAGAATGCCAGGGCCTTCTTTTCATGAAAAAAATTAGAAATCTTAATTAAAAAAGAAATAATCCCATCTCTTACTGTGGTCCCCTTGAGCTCCACTTTCTTCAGGACATGAACCCTGGAAAGAGCTGTCTCTATGGAGAGATGGACAAGTGATAGAAATGTTAAGAGACATGGTGGAAGGACTCTCCAGCTGATGTTCTCAGCAGGTTACAGGCACGGGCATGGCTGAGACACAGCTGGGGCTGGTCATCGCATGGGGACCTAATCATCCCATCTATTCTTTACTTAGCCAGTTGTCCACTCAGAGCACAGTGTCCTAACCTAGAGAGAGGAGACTGTCAAAAGTCTTGCTAAAGTCAAGGTAAATGATGGCCACTGCTCTCCCCATTCATAGTGCCATACTTAGAGATGGCAATCACATTGGTCAGGCCTGGTTTACCCTTGGTAAATGCATGTTAACTATTCCAGTTCTCTTCCTCTCCTTTGTATGCCCTAATGTGCATTTCCAGAAGACTTGCTCCATGAATTTTTCAGCCTTCTTAGAAAACGTCTGCTTCTCCTCTTTGCTGGCTTTCACTTTCACCTTTTCATTCCGTGTATCCTGCCAGCATGACATGTAATTCAGGTTAATCTGCTTCCTGGGACCCTTTTAACCGCATGCTTTCTGTTTTACCAAGAGATAAAGCAGAAAGCTGCAAACCGCTTTGCTTGCTGTGATGTATGAGATTGTGATATCAAATGAGCACAGACCCAAAATGAGGAGATGCTTCAGACAACACCAAGCCACAGCACTGAATGATAAGGGTCCTTGCACTGTGTCGCTGTCCTTGTCTTTGGGCTTTGTCCAGGAAGCAGGAGACACTGTCTTGCAATAGCCTCTGACCTGCAGTTTCTCTTACATGGCTTTGCCTTTGATTTTGGCCCCTTGTGGGCCAAGGGACATTAGCACTGGCAGTCTGAGGGGACTTGTAACAGGATGCCAGCAAACACATTTTGGGACTGTAGAAAAGATAGTAGGGGATGGATAAAGCAAGGGTCAGAGGTGGGGATATGGAAAGAGCAGGGTAGCCTGAAGAGAAACGTGTGCGGGACTTCATTTCCTGGTGAAAAACTGCAAACCCTGAGAAAAGCAGCCACAGAATGAGATTAGAAATACCTATCTTATCTTTAAGATATAGCCTAACCTCAGCTGGGCATAGGTCTTTCCCACAAAGCGGTTTGCTTTAGTGTCTGTACCTCTGTGGCCTGCGGCACAGTGTGCTTTAACTGTTGAAACCCTAGAGGAACCTGGCAGCTCAGAGGTGGAAGATTGGTTAAATGTTGATTAAAGGTTAAAGTTTTGTCTAAGTGCCAGCAACCAGAGTCCCTGGGCCCTATGTGGGCAGGAACTGGAGAGGCCAGCAGCCTGCATGGGTAGGGTAAGGGGCTTGTAAAGCAGGTATTGAAGTGGCTGTAACATTTGGCTGGGTATCAGACATATTCCAGGGTTCAATAGCAGGACCAAGCCAAACCCTGCAGAGCCCATGAGGTCTGGACATCACCTGAGAGAGCCATTTCTGTGTGTGTGTGGCAAGTGGAGATGGGAAGGATCCAAGGGGCAGCTACTGCATAGGGTATCTCAGCATGGTACCTATGCAGCTAGTGCATGGGTATCTAAGGCTGGTTTCTGGGCATGTACATCACACGTATGTGCCTGTGGATGTGTTTTTGTGTGTAAGTGGGTCTGTGTGCCAGCAGCTGGAGCAGGGTTGGGGCCTCAGGGGCTTGCTTGCACCAATGTCAACAGCAAGGAGGGCAGTAGGTTGGTGTAGGTGAGGCATGAGGGGCTGTACCAGCAGTCCATGCCTCCCGAGGGGATGGTTTGGGGTTCATTTGTCAGGATTTTATTTTTAATTTTTATTTTTTTTCCCTGCTAACCCTTCTTCATGAATTCTTTCTGCTTTTCTATCCCACTTAGACTTTTTGGAAAAAGCTTCCATCAAGAATGCAATGTTTCTTTGGAAGATCCCCTGTGAAATTACGAGGAAAAGAAAATGATTTAGAAATGCGTCTTTATGAGAGCTGAAGGAAGGAATGACATGGAAATGTGCTCAAGTCTGTGATAACATCATCTGAGACAGCAACTCTGATTGCTTGTACACATTTTCTTTAGGTTTTTGGACAGTATCCAGCACTAAGTCTTGGCTTGCACAAGCATCTCAGTATGACTTTTCTCATCAGATTAAAATGACTTATTTCCTTGAATTATATCAATCCCTTTGTTGCTTACCATTAAAGGCAGAATCTGTTCACAACATTGAGGGATTTTCCTATTCTTCAATCAGTTTTGCACTAATTCGTCACTTAAGCAGTTTGCAATTTACACTGGGGCACGGAGCTGAGGCAGGGCTTTAAGGTCTCTTCCAGGCCAAAATGTTCAGTGATTTTATGATGATGGTTCTGTGATGTTGGCATGCATTAATTAGTCTAATAAAAGGAACTGCCACAAGAGTCCAGCAGCCAGGGCGCTTTCTTACATGACTCCTTTTGTCTCCTTTTCAAGAAAAAAGATGACTTTAGGTTCAGATGAGTTTTCTAAAGCCTGATATTTCAGTTTCACATAATCATTGACAAGAGCTTGTTCATGCCTTTTGAAAAACGCTGCATTTGTTCACTGCTGTCCTCAGGGCCTTCCTTATGTTGTTATTTCTTAAGCTGTAGATGAGGGGATTGACCAGTGGAGTCAGAACTGTGTAGCAGACAGAGAACGCTTTGTGGAGGTTTTTCAGCATGTTTGACTTTGGTACCAAGTACACAACAATCAAGGTCCCATAGAAAAGTGTCACCACAGTGAGGTGGGAAGAGCAAGTAGAAAAAGCCTTATGCCTTCCTGTGGAGGATGGGATCCTGAGGACAGTGTTGCTGATGTACACATACGATAGGAGTGTCAAGAGAAACGGGGGTAGTGTCAAAAGGGAGGCCAAGATGAATGTTACAAGCTCTATCCAATGGGTATCACTGCAGGAGAGCTTTACCACTGGTGTGAAGTCACAGAAGAAATGATCGATTTCATTTGGGCCACAGAACGTTAGCTGTGGCATCAGAGAGGTGACTGTGGCACTAGCCAACAGCCCACTAACCCAAGAGACACTTGCTAACTGGAGGCAGCACCGGTTATTCATTATCGTTGTATAATGTAATGGTTTGCATATCGCGATGTAGCGGTCATAAGACATGACAGTCAGGAGACAGCATTCTGCACCTGCTAGCCCAGTGAAGAAAAAGTACTGCAAAAAGCAACCCTGAAGTGAAATAACATATTTGTTTGTCAGGAAACTCGCCAGCATTCTGGGCAGGATGGTGGAGGTGTAACAGGTCTCCAAGAATGACAGATTCCCCAGGAAAAAGAACATGGGATTGTGGAGGTGATGATCAGTCACAACCAGCGCCATGATCAGGAGGTTCCCTAACACAGTTGTAATGTAGATCACTAGAAACACCAAGAAGAGGATAAACTGTACTTCTGGGATGCTTTGGAAACCTAGAATGATGAATTCCATGACGGCTGTTTTATTCACTTGCTCTGTTCTCATGACTGTAACAGTTACAGTAAACTCTTTAACATAAAAACTTAATCTGCTTTTAAACTATTATTCAGATGTTGAAAAATAAAATAAAATAAAGGAAGTTGCTTTGCAGGCTTCGTGTGAAATAAGAAAGATCTGTGCCTGGTACTGCACCCTCAGTGAATGCCAGGGACCTGACTTTCTTTGGAGAGTTGGAAAAGCCGATTTGCAGTGATTATTCAGAGAATAATTTCTACACTCACAGGTACTTGCTTTGAATCTCAACCATAGATTGCATCTTGTGCAGTAGAAATGTTTAATTTTCTTGTACTTTTCAGTTTCATCTCTTGAGATGCCATTTTTCTGTAAGAGTCAAGTATTGATTTACTGCAGCTTATCATGATTTCCCAATCATAAAGCAACCATGTTTGATGGCCAAGTAGGTAGTAAAGGAGGTAATAAAGTTATTTCCCCTGTTACCAGCTTGGAAAGATAAAGGTATTTAATGTTCAGTTTTTACTGTATTTTCTGGTATGTAAAGCTGGTTTTAAAGATGTTCAGTGGGCACAAGTAAGTCCTGCTTATTGTCTGCTTTTGTCTGAACCAAAATGCCTCTTCTGTTCAGAGATCCTCAGAGAGATCGGCTGTGGCTAAGAAAAGTTAAAAAAAAATAAAAATAATAAAAAAAAAAGTAAATCAATTTTATTACATAACCTACAATTATTTTTATTTTCAAAACTTTTCTTTTCTTGCCAGTATTTTATTAGCTTCAGAATAATGATTCCTTTTTTTGTATGCTTATTTTTTAAAAAAGAAAGTTAATTTCAGTTCATTGAAAATGAAAAAAAAGTTAATTTCAGTTCATTGAAAATGGTTCCTGGTATCTTTTTACCCTTTTTTTCTTCCTCATAAATTGTATGAGAACTGAGGAAGAACTGAAATGACCTGTTTTTCTCTCTGCATGAGGCAGTTGAAAATGAAAGAGTTTTTTATCTTTTAAACCAGGATGTTTTCATAAGGAAGGAAACTAAGAAAAGGCAAAGCGGTGCAGAAGAGGGTTGTAAATGCAGAAATGTAAAATGACCTTTCCCACTCCTATCTATTTCCCAAGAAAAATCTAACACAGCTTTTCCTCTTTAATTTTTAGTCTTGAAAGAGCTTACCGTGTTCATTCATTTTCCATTTCTTAGTGGATGGGTGTAGGTAGTGCAGAACATCACCAGGCTTTCACCGTGTCATATTCAAAGACTGTTATGAAATGTTATGAGAGTTCCCTTCTTCATCTTTTATGCAGTCCTTCTACCTGCTCAGTAAATAAGCCTCACTATGCCTGGAAAGCTCTAGATTGACTCATGATACATGTAATTTTTCCCTTGGGGAAAAAAAAAGCAAAACCTGGCATCTCCTGTTGTCATTTGCAGAGTAACTCCCTTAGCACTTCTCCTAGAGGCATTTAAAACTGGGGCTGTGGGAGGCTCTTAAGAGTAATGTTTCTTTTCAGACAATAAGAAAGTTTTAGAAAGTAAAAGAACTGCCTTGAGAGGAGACTATTAAAGAGACAAAACACTTTGTCACAAAACTTCCATTTTTTTGCTACTTATTTGCCACTCCAGAATGGTGAGCATCTGATCCAGGTCCTCTGTCTTATCTACCAAACCTCTTCAATTGTCCCACATCAGAATCATAGAATCATAGAATAGTTAGGGTTGGAAATAATGTGTCTAAACTGGCAATAGCTGCCTTTGTAAGAAAATGAATCTTGCTGTACCTATTTAGGTCCTATGTATAGGCAACAGAGTGACAGACAGTGCAGGAAAACCTCCCTCTTTTCAAGGGTGTTAAGTGATGTCTCTGCAAGGAAAATAAAACCTTTGAAAGACAGAGATGAACAGAATGCAGAAATAATTGGAAAAAGAAAAAAATCACACCCATTTTCCCCATGGGAATATGGGAAATCACCTCATTTTCCAGCTAGATAATGTACAAACCTTATTAGTAAAAAGAGAAGATATTTGCCCTATGCTGTTGGCTACAAAAGCAAGTTATCAAGATGATAACTGCAACAATAGCAAGAAGTAATATCATACCTGGTGTGAGTGGTCAGCAATGCAGGGAGAAAGAGAAAAGAGAGTAAGAGAGGCATTTTAAAGATATGGAACCCACCAAGAGTCATTTCAGCTTACTCCTCTGTTAGACACTTGTTGAAAGCAATAAGGTCCTGTTGACCCTTCTTTCCTTAAGACTGAAAAAAATCCACTGATGGAGCAGCCATAAAGGCAAGCCAGTGATGGAAACATACCACACAAAAAGTTAACTACTTAGCTGAGGGGACAGGATATCCCTGATACGCTTAGCTCAGAGCCTGTGATAAATACAGAACAAAGAAAAAACAGTAACAAACCAGCCTTCCGAGAAAGCAGAAGGTAACACCTAAAGTTCCCGGAAGCTCCAGTTTATCTACACCGCTTACACCCATTTCTGTATCTGCACCAGGAGTATAAATGTGATTATTTAACCAAAGCGATCCTCTGTGGCTGAGATCTTCCATAAAGACAGGACCTGGTTGACGCTGGACTCTGTGGCACAGATCATCTTTGAAGTGAGACCTTTCTGACATTGGCTGTCTCCACCCAGGCATTGTTTGGTGAGTGCCATACTGGTAACACCTCAAGCAGTATATGTATTGTGTATGGAGAGATGTGGAGAGATTGCAGGAGCTGAGCCTATTTAGTCTGGAGAAGAGCAGACTGAGGGGGGATTTTATTAGTGCATATAAATACCTCAAAGGCCAGGAGGATGGTGCCAGACTCTTTTCAGTGATGCCCAGTGACAGGACTAGGAACAATGGTGTTCTGGGTTCAGCTGCCCAGGAGCAGGGGGGGAAGAAAGAGGAGAACGAGCGAGTGGCTGTGTGATTCTGAATGACCGACTGGGATGTGCAGCCTGTATCAGGAAGCTCCCATTTTCCCCTTTGGAAGCAGAATATTGGAAACTTGAAAGAGCTTTTTCATATATGTTATCAAATCAGAGGTCAGCAGTAACAGACAGAGGTTGTGTAGCTGTTCAGGCTAATGATAGTCTTTGGATATACACAATATTCATAAATTCTTTTGACATCCAACAGTTCCTTGTTCATATGCCAATATTCCATGGAAGTTGCAGCACTACTGACAATACTGACGATGTGGAGCATTGATCATTAATCCTAGGTGATGACTAGGATGCTGCAATATATAAAATATAAAATATAAAATTACTCCGTCCTTTTAAGCACTTGAGTTGGGTTTTTTTTTTGTTATTTTACCTTGGAAAACGGTAGTAGGGAAATAACTTCAGCTCCTTTGGAGTTTGAAAGTTACTCTGAGCTAAGACATTGATGTGCATTCCATTTTCACTAGGTTTCCAGGAGGCAAAGACAGACATCTCAATGGCTGCCAAGGTATGCTCTTTCTACTCTGGGTTTCCCCTCTATCTCCTAATCGCTCTCCTGGCTGCTTCATTTTCCACACTCTAAGACACTTGTGTCATGATTGTTTTATAAAATGGATGTTCTAAGTACTTCATGCTAATAGTACTCTGCAAAGTATGTGTAAGAAGTAACTCCATTTCTTTGAGACTTTCTCTCTAGATGATAGCTAAAGAGGATCCTCCAGGACAAGAATCAGAACAAGGGTAGGATTCATCTCACCTGACTTCCAACATCTGCGTTACAGGTTTCTACAGATGAGCTAGTTCTGAATGCATTTCATACCAGGGTTAAACAGGCACCTCTGAAGTATGATTTAGGGAGTAGTACCCTAGAAGTGCTTCTTGCTCTCCAGTGATGTTTAAGGATGTGCAGAGGACTGCAGAGCTCAGGCTGAAAATGAAGATTCAACGATGAAAATTCACCTGGAAAAGCTGCATTTCTTTAGGCTACCTTGAACATTAGATCAAGTTAGACGTTTGCTTCTAACTGAAAAATATTCCACTGGCTTGAGTGCATCAACAAGTAAATTTCACTGAGTTTCATAAATTGCTCCAACGAGAGACTTGCGTTACCATTGTGGGAAACACTGACAGGCACAACAGTGTTTCCTTTAGAAAAGGGGCTGGGTTTTCAGTCAGGAATTTGGGGGCTTTTTAATAATGAAGAACTGAAATTTTTGTTCTTCTTCCTTCCTCTTCACTTTGTACATTTGGTTCATAAATACTGCCGCTTTCATCCTGGATTGAAAGTGTAAGACAGAAGTGGCTTCCCTGATACTTATGCTGCTGTTAGGTATTGAGTCAGAGTGAACACTTGCTAGTTTGCAAAAATCTGGGTCCTCTGGGTGGATCCCATAATAGTGATGTTCTTGCAGTAAGAAGTATTCTTACCCTGAATGTGTTTCACTTTGAATGCCAGGATGAAGTCCCTTGGGTCCGTCAGTCTCACGAGCTCTCAGAAGGTGAGAGAAAAGCCACCCATAAGAGAAGAGAAAAAGTACTGATGTGTCTGGAAACACTTGGGATTCGTTGTGAGCAGGTAAGCACTGACAGGCCTAGTAAGGAAAGGAGGTATCAGTCCAGTGATGTGAGTGGCATACAGAGTGCCATTTGGAGTGAGGTCTAGACCCAAGGAAGCATCATCTGTTGTCACAAGCTTTCCAGTGCAGGCTTTCTTTCCACTGCTGGGAGAAAGATTCAGGCTGGAAATTTCCAAGGAGACAAAAGGGAACAGGAGACTGAATTATCAGTGGAATTCCCAGCTGCAATTCCTGTATCTATCAGCTAATTACATTTGCTTGCCTTTGCATATCTCTTGTATACATGTCATGACAGTCAGGAATGGTGCCTGAGGACTGGAATAAAGCAAATTTCACCCCAGTCTTCAAACAGGGCAAAAAGAAGGCCCCAGGGAAGTACAGGCCAGTTAGCCCCCATCCCTGGAAAGGTGATGGAACAGCTAAACCTGGAGGCAATCTCTAAGCACATGGAAGACAAGAAAGTGGGAGACTGTTCAGCAAGTTGAAACATTGATGTATTGTCAGTAGCTTTGCAGCCGCAAATCGAAAGCACAGAACCCTGTGAGCTGCTGTGCAGGAAGTTGACTCTCTTCCAGCCATGACCAGTACTACATGTTCTTGGGAATTTCCTGTGGCTGGCTCTAATAGTTCTACCTTCCTGTTTTGGAAATAAAAGCCAGTTCTTAGTGACAAAAAGGTAACAGATGTGACATCTACAGGAGCACAACATGCACTGCTCAAAATGTGTGTATTTTGAAGCTACAGCACAGGAGCACAGTGCAAATCTCAGCATAATATAAAAGAGAACCCATTCTGTGACTGTGAGGTAAAGGAAAACTGCAATAGCCTTTATCCTTGTCTGTTTAAGCCTTTGGTCTAAAAGAAACGTGTTTTCTGTCCACTTTCCAGAATAAGGTGCCTAATATTGCTGTTCTGGGATCAGGCGGGGGCCTGCGTGCCATGATAGCCATGCTAGGAACCTTGGTGGAGCTGAAGAAGCAAAATTTCTTGGATGCTGTCACGTATCTGTGTGGGGTGTCAGGATCCACTTGGTAGGTCTGGTGCGATCATGAATGTTTTTCCTGCTCTGTAGATTCAATAGCAGTTCAACACTGTTGTCACTGTTTGTAACTCCCTGTTGGGC